AAAGCACCATACTGATTGGCGCCACTGGAGATGCAGGAGTTGTTCTCTCAGCTTTAGGAGCTGGTAGGCAAGCAATTCATCAGACTTAGCAGTTCGCTGCAGGGAACACCGATATTGTTCGTTAAGAAGAAGGATGGTTCGTACTGGATGCACATTGATTATCGGGAGTTGAATAAGTTGACGGTGAAGAACCGTTATCCCCTTCCACAGATTGATGACCTCTTTGATCAGCTGCAGTGTGCATCTTGGTTCTCCAGGATTGATTTGAGGTCAAGGTATCATCAGATGATGGTTAGAGAGAAGGATGTGGAGAAGACTGTGTTTTGGACTCATTATGTTCATTACGAGTTCGTGGTGATGCCGTTTGAGCTCACCAATGCGCCTGCGGCATTTATGGATTTGATGAATCGGGTGTGCAGGCCGATGCTTGATTGATTAGTTATCGTTTTCATTAATGGTATCTTGGTGTATTCCAAGACTAGGGAGTAGCATGAGGAGCACATTCGAGAGCATCTAGGGGTTTTGAGGCGAGAATGGTTGTATACCAAGTTCTCAAAGTTGATTTTTGGTTATGAGAGGTCCAGTTCTTGGGGCACCTCGTTAATCAAGATGACATTGTGGTCGATCCGGCCAAGATCGAGGCGGTTATGAAGTGGGAGGTCCTGAAGTCTCCTTCTAAGATCAGGAGTTACTTGGGATTAGCAGGGTATTATCGGAGATTTAATTAGGAATTCTCTAAGATTGCAATACCCCGCACTCGTCTGACGAGGAAGGGCGTGGATTTCTGTTGGGGGCCTAAACAGCAGGCTGCATTTGAGACACTGAGACAGAAGTTGTGTGAGGAACCAGTGTTGACCCTCCCTGAGGGTGTTGAGGACTTTGTGGTATTTTGTGATGCATCCATCATCGGTCTGGGAATGATGCTTATGCAATGTGTGAGGGTTATTGCTTATGCTTCTTAGCAGCTGAAGCTGCATGAGGTGCATTATCTGACTCATTATTTAGAGTTGGGAGCAGTGGTGTTTGCTCTCAAGATTTGGCGGCATTATTTGTATGGGGTCCGGTGTACTATTTACATAGATCACATGATTTTGAGATATCTTATGGATCAGCCGAATCTGAATATGAGACAGCGTACGTGGATTGACGTGGTCAAGGATTATGTCTGCAAGATTCTGTATCACCCCGAGAAAGCGAATGTGGTCGCTAACACTTTGAGCCGCAAGATGGCTAGATATTCTATTGAGAGTCAGTATATGAGAATATCGGTTGATTATACGCTTCTTGATCTGATTAGGGAGGCTCATGCTGAGGGAGTCAATAAGGAGAATTGGAAATAGGAGAGACTCATGGGTGAGGTTGATAGGTTTGCTACTGATAGTCGTGGATTATTGACTTAGAATGGACGGATTTGGTTGCCAGATTTTGGTGGGTTCAGGAAAACATTTGAGGCATCACACTTGAGGTGCTAGGCTCTTGAAAGACCAATTCCTACAAGCTACAACAAAGAGGTAATCTTCTAACTTACTTTTATGATTCATATGTCAAATTGTATGCTAGTTGTAGGTTTCAAGCTTTGGAAATTTTTTGGAAACTTAGATCCAAAGCTATTAGGGTTTTATGTGCACCATAAGAGTGTTATAGTACTTAAAACCCAACATATACATCGTAAGAAAATGTTGTGGTCTTTATACAAGTCCTTCCCGTAAAGTATGTTATAAATATGAAATTTTGTTTGTGTGGAATAGTTTGAAGGAGGTAGTATTTGTACGAGTAATAATATGTTATATTTATATTGGAAATCTATTATGATCATGAGGGCAATTTGATCCTTTTGTGAACATAATTAGGGGAAACTAAATTAAAATTAGTTGAAGATGTATTGATAGATGCAGGGGTGAAATGGGAAATTGGATTTAGTAATGAATCTATAGTAGTTACATGCGTGTAACAAGGATCACACGAAACGTAGTATTCTATATATATAGAATGGTAATGTACTTTGTGTAAACACGACATGTACATAGTTGATATGCGACATGCCCGTAATGACAATGTTTAAACTGAATTGAGTAAGTATGTGTCGTGTACAAGAAGTATATATGATATGTACCAGAATGATATGAGACACAAGAGGTACATGAAGGGACGTATGAGGTGGCTTCTGACCACCGAATGTTTATTACATGTTGGATTATTATGATACCTATATGTTCGCATATGAAAAAACTTGTTTGTTGTTTGTGTAACTTCTGGACATGTTATGTCCCAAGTTCAGTTAAGAAGTGTTTCACGAACATGTATAGGCAAGAGCGATATGAAGATTTTTGTTAATTGAGTTTGAGCTACCAGAAAAGGAGGTAAACATGCTCAAGTTAGAGCTATTAAAATTGATTGAAGTATCTAAGGTATCATTGGTATAGAAATGAGGAATTTAGTTGTCGTTGATTTCTTTGACAGAGAAATGTATCAAAAATAAATCTATCAAAAATGTTTATTTATTCTATCAAACTAAATGCTTTGTTGAATTAAAACCATTATAGAAGTATTGTGTGAATTATGAAGTTTACTAAAAAAACTTAAATATATTCAAATTTAAACCGAAAGGTGATAACTGATGGTTGTCGGGGCAAAGAAACAGTTCGAATTGGTGATAGTTGATGATCAAAGGAAGAGGTATTTGATTGAAATAGTCGGGAGCACCATCTCTATTGATTAAAGTCGATTACCATCAAGAAGAAAAATGAAAAGAATAGTATTATAAGACTCAAGAGGTGTCTAAATATAAAAAAAATCAATGAACCCATGAAGAAAACATGATTTTGGTTGGGTACTCCAAACCATGAAAGCCGGAGCTTTTACTAAAACTCGTTGGAAAGTTTGACCATGGAAATGTGAGGTAGTGTATTAATGAGAATTGAATACGATATCATTGGAGGATTTGTATCGTTATTAAGAATCAAAGAGTTACTCGATTGTTTTAGAGGACGTTGTTTCTTATATGTATTGTTGAAGACGAACTATAAAAACTTGACAAGACGATGACGATGACAATATATGTGAAGGAGACGATAGCCAAGACGAAGAAGGTGAAAATATCCTGCACTCAGTATTTTGTGGATGTATAACATAAGTTATGAAAAAGTTAGGAGTATATTGTGATGATAATATTTTACAATAGCAATGTCTAAATTATGTAAACTTCACCAATATAATAACAACAAATAAAAAAAATAGGGCCCTATAAGAATTGAAAACAAGGACCTCACATGCTATGTAAACTGTAGAGGAGGAAGAGAAGGGTTGGCAAGAAAATGGAATCCCAAGAAAACGAATACTATGTTGCCAATCATAACCAAACAACTCACGCCAGATTTCCAAGACAATTTTACTTAAACACACACACAGAAATATATATATATATATATATATATATATATATATATATATATATATATATATATATATATATATATATATTTCTGGGTGTGTGTTTAAGTGCATGTTAGAGATGTTTATATATGCTTTGTATATGTATCATCAATGAAATTCATAAAAAATATGGTAACGATCAACAATCATTATATAAATTCCAGCACAATTGTAAGTAAAGTAAATTACGTCTTTGGTTTCTTAAATTTTGGTTCGTATTCAAAACAATTTAATGTTTTTGACCTCTATTGCAGATAAAATAACAACATTTTTTTTAAATCATTTGCCTAGTTTGTAAAATCCGCTCAACCTACAAACCTAAAGTTTAAGTTTCGTTTGAAAAAAATAAAGCAGTTATTGTAATTTATTTTTTGGTAAAACCATAAAAATAAACTATCTTAGCTTATAAGTTCAATTTTTTTAATAAGCTATTTTGAGATGGCTTTTGATAAATTTATAGAGCTTTTTCAAAAATATTTTAAATATTCCTTTAATTATATGTATTCTTTTTTCTTTTAGTCATATATCTAAATATGTATTATGTCATTTTACATTGCAATCTAACTTATAAACAATTTTTTCACTAAACACTATCAATTCATAAGCTACTTTATTAGCTACCAACTAACAACTAATATTTTAATTAAAAACTTGTTTTAAGCTAATCTACCGATCATGGGTAAATATTTTTATAAAAATCATGAATGATATAACTCCTCCTATTAAGAACTTATGTCCGAATTAGTATTTTCTTTAAACAAAAAGAATAGTGACTTAGTATTTTGTATTTTCTTTATACAAAAAAATTATTAGTTTTTTCCCATGCCAATGAAAAGTGAATAAGCATTTTGTATTTTCTTTATACAAATGTTAATAGTGAATTATTATTTGTATTTTATTTACACAAAAAAAGCATTAGTGTTTACCTATGCCTAGTGAATATAATATGCATGTTGATAAAAGACATTTCCCTTTTTAACTCCATAACCACACGACTTTGCTCAAGGCCTAGTGTCAAACATCCCATTAAGTTTCAATTATCATCAATCAGGAAAGTGTTAATAGTAGAAGTAAAAGATTTTTTGGTACTTTTTCACACACTATAAATACAAATGGCGTAATCTTTTATTTTTTGTTTACTTGAAGTGAATTATGGGCCAACAGCCGATATAATTACAACTTGCAATTGTCATCATGACATCATAAAATAAAACATTAAAACTATATGCCTAAATTGAAATTTTCCAAAATTACTTTAAAGGAAACGTAATAAAGAGAATTTGTGAATTAAAAAAGAGGCAAAAAAAAAACAACAATTTATATTACATTGATGAATGAATTCTTTCTCTTTTGTTACAAGTATTCATGTTAACACCAAACAACAAATTCAATTGTCCTCGGAAAAAATTAATCCCCAACAATTTCTTACTAAAAATCAAAAAATTAATCACTCAAGAAAATTAATTCCGAATAATTCTCACTTCACACTGACAAAAAAAGATCAAAAAAATATACCGGAAAACTATTTGGGATAATCTTCTCCGAACACTATTTTTGATCAATGATTGTTAACTCTTCCAAGCATAAACAAGCAATGAAAAACCAGAAGGCCCTTTGAGTTCATTCTCCTCCACACTTTCCCATTCCATCACCGATCCACAGCCGGAGGACGCCGATGACAGTGACGACGACGACGAGCTTTTCACCCTCTTCAACATTCCTTTCTTCATCTTCTTCATCTCGAATCCAAATCCGAAACCTGATCCCATTCCGGAAATACCAGACCCAGATGCATTCAATCGGGATAAGTACTTGTCGTCTTCGTGGTAATCGAATCCGGATTTTTCGAATCTGAACATGAACAATGCGTAACCGTCGTCGATTTCTTCTTCTAAAAGCCAGTTATGAACATCCCACGAAATTTGAATGTGAACGCCGTCGATTTCGACTCTTTCGTTACCCCTGAATTTCCATTGCAGATGTTTCACTACCAATACCCTTTTGTTGTCAACTGAGAAGTATAATCTAGAATCGTCGCCGCCGGCCACTCGGGTGCAATCTATGGTTATCTCTCGAGTTTTGCCCCGGAAAGTTGCTTTGGTGTTGTATTTCTTGTTGGCTATGCCGTAGACGTGTTCGCGGCGGAGGACGGTGATCTGGTTTTTAATCGATTGAGTCGATTTAGCCTTGGAGTAGGCTTGTTTCGGGGAATCTCCGACGAGGAGTGTCATTTGACCAGAGACAGTGGCGGCGATGTAGTATCCTGATATGGGTTCTGGACCTGATCCGAACTTGGCCCGAGACAGATCGTAATAGATGTGGATGAACTCGTTTTTATTGCTAGAGATTGGGATCTTCTTGGAGCCATGTCTGTTCCAGAAAATCAAGGGTTTAATTTGTAAGTGGAAGGAAGGGGTGGCGGCGGCGGTTTGGGTGGATGAAGTGGTGGAAATGGAATCGTCATCATCGTCGTTGGCGGAGGAGGGGAGGAGGTGGAGGTAGAGAGATCGGCCAAAGAGCGTGCGGGACCAGGTGAGAGCGAAGATGCCGATGTGGGTGTGGTAGAGGGTGGTAGTGACATTGGGTTTAGATGATGGCGGTGGAGGTGGCGGCGGAGGTGGCGATGGAGAGTTGTTGAGGTTGCGGTTGCAGGTGGGCCGCCGGTGGAGGATTGGGTGGTCCGATGACATGGTGTTTGGTATTATTTTGATTATTGAGAAAGAAAGTGTAGCTTAAAAGAATGGGTTTATAAAGGGGTGTAGGGACTATGGGAGCGGTGTGAGCATTTCACTTTATTAGTCGCGTTCAAATTCGGGTTAACCCGACAAAAAAAATATCAAATAGTTTGAATAATAATACTAACAAAATGTAAATTTATTTGCACTTTGTGGTACGAAACGAAGTTTATGTTTTGCATATATATGTAAAAGATATCGTCTGGTAGCCATTAGAACTTAAATACCATTCTATTAAAATTATCCAAATGATAGAAAATTCTTTTTAAATTGTAATTCTTTCTAACTCCAAAATTTTATAGCATACATTACAAAGTTACATAAAATAATAGGATTTTACACCGTACATTCCGGTTTGACATTGTACATTCCGGACTGATATTATTATAGTATGGTTTGTATGTTATTCTGAAGACACATTCCGGAGTAACTCAAACCAACTTTATGCATCAATTCTTGATCCATTTTGTTAAAGTGGAATTTGTCATCTTTCTTTCTATCATTGAAAATAAGTAAATGTAATCAGTGTATTAGAGTATTTGTTTTGTAGTGGAGGACAATGAGATCCAATACACGACTTTATGAATTATATTGCTCCAGATTACACATGTTATGATGTAGACTTAACCAATGATGTCAACTTTTTGGGATTGATTAACGATGATACATCGATTTCTTTAGTCGGTTATCCAGGTGTTGCGTCTAGCTCGTATGTCCGTTGGGTGTGTGTCGTGGTTCGACTTCGACTATAAAACTTGAGCAACGTCAGGAAAAAACTTGTTAGGCTTGTTCCAAGGACCGTGCCCCAGGAGCAAGCTTCGATGATCAAGTTAGATTGCTAGTACAAATAAAGCCAACTCCATCTTGCGGGAAGGAGCTGACTATATGGAGACACAGATGTCTCCTTGAGAGAGATTAAAGTGAGTCAAAAACATTTACCTGGAACGTTTGGAAGAGACTCCCATATATAAGACGGGGAAGGGAAGGTGTGACAATATAATATTAGCCAGTAAGTACTAGTCTACTAATATAATATTAGATCGTGTGTCCTTGTCAGATCTTCATTTACTGTGCACGATCTTGGAAAATATTTTTACTTTTTTATTTGTCCGTCCTTCTATCCTTCCATTTCTATCCTTCTGTTATAGCGTTCAATTTTATCCTTCTTTCTATGTGGGAGGTCGGGTGACGGTCCTCCATTATGCCTCCTAGTCTGAAATGTTGTATGACGTAAAGACATGTAGCATTTTGGACTAAATTCAGACTAAATCTCTTTGTAAAACAAAATTTTTCCAGCCCCTATACAAAGTCACAATTATAGTATACCTTCCATGTGTTGAAGATATTAGTGTTGCGTCATTGGGCCTGTTTTGACTAGTCCATTTTGTATAAACGAGTTGGGCCTGTCCACTCGTATTTAATACTAGGGTTATAGTATATAAGGTGCATGCATGCTACGTATTTAAGCTAAGTCTGATATTTTATTTCGTAACCCTAATTTACGCCTCTACAGAAGCAATTCTTCATCGAGTTCTTCTGAGGCGTGACTGTTAATCATTCAACACCAGTTTGATCATATTGTGTTCTTTACCTGTTTTAATCTATTCGATCGTTAATGATTTATTCCTATCAATTGGTATTAGAGTAGGAGACTGTGTTCTTAATACGCATCTCTTATGTTTGAAGAAATTATTAGGGTTTCCGCAAATATTGGATCTGTTAAGAGTCGTCACTGATTTATTGACGTTACTCTGTGATCTCAATATTAACCTAATAAGTGTTTACAGTCTGATTAGTTGCAGGTATTAAAAGACCATCACCATGCAGAACGAAGACTCAAATATCAACTCCTTGAATATCTCAAGCAGTATCGGATCAACCACCAGGATTCCAATTCTCTTTCCTCAAGAATATGAAGTTTGGGCGATGCACTTTGAAGATTATGTTTTGGGTTCAGAAGACAATGGTTATCTGATCTGGGAAGCAATCACTCTAGTTCCGTTTGTTCATACAGCGACCAAAAGAACAATCAAAACCCAGAGAGAATACAACCAGCTGCTTCTTGATGTAAAGGACGTGCTTCAAGATGAAAAAGACAAACTCATGAGAAACATTAAAGGAATGAGGATCATCAGATTCGCATTGCAAGCATATACTTTTCGTCTTGTAAGTTCGTATGATACAGCGAAGGATATATGGGATAGGTTGAGAGAACTCTATTTTACAGACGCAGATCTAGAACACTCAACTCAAACGCTCTTGTTATCTGAGTTTGGCGAATTCCTCCAAAAGCCTGAATCTAAGTGCTACTTTCAATCGATACAATCATATTCTAAGCAAGATGATGAAGCACGGGATTGGACGTGAACTGATTGAGCAAAAGGTCACGTTCATGAACAGACTTCGATCAGAGTGGCAAGCAGTGATGTCAACTGTTAAGGCACACGAGCAGTTCAAGAACTATACTATTGCGAAGCTTGTGGGAATTCTGAAGGCGCGAGAGAGTGAGATAATGAAAGAAGCAAAGGTGATGTCTGGGATGGGGTCTCTAGCCTTAGTTGCAAAAGGCAAGATTGTTGCTGATGACGGATCTGATTCAGATCATTCTGAGTACGAGCTCTCAAACGAAGACTTTGCTTTAATGGTGTCCAACCCTAAGCGATTTGCTAGGAAGAAGTTTCCCTCAAGCAAAAATAGAAACTGGCAGGGAAGCTACAGCTCAGAGAAAGTGAAAGAAGAAAACAAAAGTGGTTCTCAGAAAGAGGAAGAGAAGAAGGAGAAAAAGTTAGTTGGAGACTCCGGATACGATTGCAATTATTGTCATGGTAAAAACCATCTTGCAAAGGAGTGCATGTTGCGAAGGAAGAATGAGAAGAATGAAGAGGAAGATGAGGAGGCCTATCACAAACGAAAGTTGGAAGAGATTAAGAAGAAGATGAGGAGGCCTATCACAAATGATAATTCTATGCCTGCTTTTGTTGTACAGGAAAACATGGCTCAAGGAGAGTTCGGAGGAGTGGAAGTCTGGTCAACAGATTCAGAAGATGAAGAAGTATGCAAGCCCACTCATGGCAGGGCGTTCGCTGCGAAACAACATAATTCGCAGTACTCAGGAAGGTGCTTGATGGTGTCTGAAGGTGGATCGAAGATGCAGGAGAATGCAAGTGAGAGTGGAAGGAGCGAAGCTAGCTGTTTCGCGACAAAGACTGTTCCAGAATAGATCAATGAATGCGAACAGCTGATCAATAAGGTAAATTCCATTCTTGAATCACTTAATATTCCTACATCTAGATACGAAACATAATTTAATGATCTAAAATTCACCTTTTCAAGTATAAGCAATAGTTTAAAGCAAACTCGGCTATCAAACTCTAACCTAACCGATCAATTGAGCAGGGCAACATCCAAAAGTGAGGAGAGACATATGTGGATCCAGAAGGTTTAGTCGGATTTATATAAATCTAGGGATGAATCTATTTATTTATAGAGAGATAAGTTAATGCTTTTGAAACAGCAAAACATCTTTTGTTTAATTGCAAAAAGGCTTTATTTTAATATCACTCAACCGCACCTTAATTGTGAAATCGGTAAGAAAATCCATAAAATGATCTTGCCATTTCTCGAATTAAAGGAAGACGAAATAGACGCAGACTGTTACAAATGCGAATCTATTGTTTTGTCTGAAGAAACTTCTGAAGCATACAAATTCGGTCTTGAACGTATTGAAAATTACATTAAGTCCAAAGACCACAAAAACATGTTGAAACAAAATTTGGATGAGAATGACAAAAAGCAGATCAAATCTGAAACTGTGCAAAAATTTAATTCATTGAATGCCAAATTAAGTTCAGAAAGCAAAATAAATGGTTATAGTGCTTCTGAATTTGATGAGGATAGTGATATGAGTGTAATTTCTGTAGAGGATGAGGTTAATTGTTCATAGTTTGTTAAAAGTGAATCTAAACCTGCGAAAACTCTTATTTCTGAAAATTCTGTTAAATTCGCAAGAGTTGTTCAAAACAAACCTGAAATTTTGAAAGAAAAAGCGACTGTTTTCCCAAAGATTCAAATAACGCCAAATCAAGTTTTTAAAGTCAATGGGGTAACCGAAATTCAAACCGTCGAGCTGAAAACCATTTTCGACGAAGACAACAAAGACGGATGTGATGAATTCTTCTGGTCAGCTCCCATAGATAATGCTGACGAAACCGTTGGTTTATCTGAAAGAACTTCATGGAAAGTCAAAGGAAGATATGTGGCTGAACCCTTAAATAATTGCTCAGCGTTTGAAAATGGTAGTCCTAGTGGTACCAAGGAGGTTCGCAGCGAAGCCAACTATGTGAAGAAAAGCGAACCTGAAATGAGAAAAGCGAATCCTAAGGTGAACATCCATAAATCGTCGAAGCAACTTGCTGATCAAAAACGACAAAGAAATGATAGATATAGAAGAAATCTCAGTGAAAGAAAGCAATTTTGGCAATCCCAACATTCGGATTATGTTTGCCATGAAAGAAGGAAGAATCCTAAAGCGAAAGCTCATTTGCAAGTAAGCTCCAATCAATGTAAGCACTGTTGTTCTCATCGTCCAAGGGACTCTCAGCAAAAAGGGACTCCACAACCCTTCTTCGCAAAGCAACCAATGGAGAAACCAAAACCTTGTTTCTCTAAATCCACGAAGTCAGCACATAATAACATCAAATGCATGGGAAAGCTGTTTTCAGAACCAAAAGCTCTAACTAAGAAAACTTACGTGAATCCCAAAGAAGCTGAAAAGAAGCCTGTCAAAAATCTAGTCCATAACAAGAATAAAACCTTTGATTCCATAGAAACTAACTCAAAAGATAACAAAATCAAAGTTTTCACCGTCAAACGCAAAAATGAAACCACTATCATAAAACGAACATATATGGTTGATCTTGATATTACTTTTCCTAGTTGTGTGAAAGGCTCACAAG